GAAGCTCTCGACCTTTGACCTCTCTAAGTGTCTTTAAGAATCTGTTGGACTCCTGGCAGGGACCAATGCAGACATGTTCCTGTTTTTAGTTTTCTAATTCGCCTTGTGATCTTTTTTTTTTTTTGCTGCTATTCCTCTTGATTGTCCTTTTGGTTGTTATATTGTTTTGATTAGTTAAGAAAAAAAAGAGAAATTTAAAATTGTATGCCTATTTTATGACTGGCTATTGTTGTCTTTGTTCACTGTCGTTGTCACTCTTTCTTAAGAAATCAAGTCTCTCTTGTAAATGAGTCCTTGAGGCTCAATGGGATTAACCTGTCTAAATAAAGGCTGAATGAATAAACAACAATTACAATAAACAACAATAACTATAAACAATAAACTACAGTAAAAATGTAGTTGAATAAAAGAAGTGTTGTAAAACAATAAATCACGGTGCTGTAAAACAAGGTAAAATACTAAAAACAAAATTTGCTTAGATTTTTGTATTGACATTGGTCGTTTTTACAAAGCTCTTAGCCTGAAGACCTGTTGGACTGAAATACTCCAAAAGTGAACCAGGTCTGTCTTTGATCCATCTCCTGACCCCCAGGTACCTGCTTCCAGTTTTCAAAGGATCAACCAGAGTTTTCATGAGGAGCATAATGCTGGCCTGATGCCAAACAGCCGAATCAGAAGCAGATGGAAATCAGAATAATAATTCCTTAATTTCCACTCAACACATTTTATTTGTTTTTACTGCTTTTTGCACAAAACTAAAGTGTTTTTTAATTTACCTGCAACAAGTGAGAGTAATAATTGTCTTTTTTTCTGACCAGATGACTCCAGTTCAAGAAATGGAGCAGGAACATCAACTGCTGGTGACTCTGAACATGTCCCAGAACTGGCCGGGAGACTGGGTAACTTCTCACATTTTTTTCAAAGATTCTCTTCACCTAAATGTGAATATGAATATGAATATGAATATGCACACATTTAGACGAAATAAAAACAATGACCTGCAGAAAACATGAAGTTTAAAGTGCCAGAGCCAAAGGAGTGAGGCACAATGAGCTCAGCGTGCACGAGGGAGTGAGGCACAATGAGCTCAGCGTGCAC